GAGAATGGTGCAGCTGTTACGCGTCGTGGCTGTTCCCTGGGGGCACCTCACAGATTACAGTTGTGTCCCTTGCCATTAGGTCGGGCTAGCTTTATGGCGCGCTGTAGCTGTTACACTGCGCCGAGGGAAAGCCATGCGGCATTCCGCATAGACAAACAGAAAGTAAGTCACAACTCTCCCATGGCCTCAGACCGCAAACCGTCTGCCACCGCCTGGTTCTTGGAAAGTCTGTGTTAAAGCTGGCCTTTGTGTGAAATGCTGGGGTTCTGGCATGTATAGGCAGCACCCGCACTGTGGCCCGCCCTACCCACAGGTTTCCGTCCGGCCATGCCCCCCACCTCCCCCCACCTACACACAGGTCTCCCTCCCCGTCCCTGTCCCCGCTTGCCTCTCCCCAGACAGCCGCATGGGCAGGTCTTTTGTCACACTGCGCCCCCTACCTCCCTCGCACACACCCCATGCCCAGTCCTGGCCCCGCAGCATCCTCCCCCTGCACGCAGCCCCAGAACATCTGTCCTCCCACACTCCCAGTCACAGAGGCCTTCCTCTCCACCAGGCCCAGCCCCTGACTGGGTCCTGTCCCCTAACCTGGCCTTTTCCAGGCTGTCGTGGGACGGAACCCACCTACTGTCATCAGGTCTGGACTTTTTTTTTTTTTTAAGTAAAAATTAAGAATTTTGCTATAGGGCGCGTGCACTCACCAAAAAGACAGAGACAGAAAGCGAGAAATCACCCCCCAGGGGGGATGGCCACACCGCAATCCCTTCTCCATTCTCCTCCCAGGATCTTGGGCACGCACGCACACACGCCCGGCGTGAGTGTAAGCCACCAGGTCTAGGACTCAAACCATGGTCGACTACGTGGGAGTCCAGAGACACTGCCATTACGCCAACTGAGGGTCCCAAGGGTCTGAAGTTTTTTTGAGAGAGAGAGATTTTTTATTGCTATAGGGCACATGTGCTTGCTGGAGAGACAGAGAGAGAGACCACTTTTCTGGGGGGTGGCCTGCTGCAATCCATTCCTCATTGTACTGTCAGGATTTGGGCACGCACACACACACACCTGGCATGAGTTTTAGGCCACTGGATCTGGGACTTGAACTGGTTGACTACGTGAGAGTCCAGCAACGTAACCATTACACCATCCGCTGGCCCGGGTCTGGACTTCGACGTGGTGAATGCACCAAGAACCCTTTGCCTGTGCGAGTCAGGGCCTGTCTTCAGCCCACAATGTCCCTTCGTGACCCGCACACCGCACTTGTCTGTCCCTGCTTTGATTTTTTTTTTTTTTTTTTTTGCTATCAGGCCCGTGCGCTCGCCAGACACACACAGAGAGAAAGAGAGACAGAAAGCGAGAAATCACCCCACAGGGGGGAGGGCCAAGCTGCAATCCCTTCTCCTCCATTCTCCCCTCGGGATCTTGGGCATGCATGCACACGCGCCTGGCGTGAGTTTGAGCCACAGGGCCCAGGACTCGAACTGCAGTCGACTACGGGGGAGTCCAATGACATAGCCATTACGCTAACTGCTGGTCCCTGTCCCCACTTTGAAGGGCCCCTCCTCGTTCCCAGCCTTCAGCTGTGACGAGCAGCCCGTCTAACCGTTGGCATGGTGGTTCACATGAAGAGGAGTTCTCAGTCTCCTCTGTGGGCATGAGGCTCCTGGGTATGCCTTTGTTCAACCGCACGAGGGGTCTTCGGAAGTTTGTGGAGGGCGCACCCCCAGCTAGACTGTGCTTGTTTTCAGAGTGCTTTGCCCAGGGTAGGCTTGCATTTCCATCCCATTCCCGTGGACTTAAAGCCCTGTCTGTGGCTGGGGTGTAACCCACCAACATGACCCACGAACCGTGGCTCCGAGTCCAAAGCACTTGGCCCTGTTGGGGCTTGTGGCGCTGGTTGGTGGTTTTGATAAGTGTGTGGCGACGACTCGCCGTGAGTCCAGCTGCGTCTGCCCAGTGACTGGCGGCACCGCCCTCTCCTGCCTCTGTGATGACTGTGCTGTGTCCCTCTGTCGCTGTGGTGGGTCCTGGTGTCCCTTGAGGCCCCGGTCTGGTCCATCTGGGTCCTCGGTTCCATCCGTAGTGCCCGCACTCCCGCCCCCTTGGTTAGCGTCTGCGTGGTCCATCGTCGTGGTATGGAGCCGTCCACGTCAGCATGTGAGGCGGGTCTCTCCTGGGACCACAGGTTTGGCCCTGCCTTTTCACCCGATCCGATCTGATCTGACAGCTTCTGTCGTCACTGGTGGATTTAGAACACCCTCATTTAAAGCGCTAGGTTAGAGTCTGCCATCTGGTTAGCTATTATCTTTTGCTTTGTTTCCTTTTCTAATTGCCACAGAGCACATGTGCTCACCAGAGAGAGACAGAGATAGGCAGGAGATGCCCTGCATGGGCGTGGCCATGCTGCCCTCCCTCGCCTCCGTCTCTCCACCGCATCAGAGTCGGGCACACAGCTGCTGTGTTTCCAGGTCCCAGGGGCCGAGATTTGCGCCGTAGTCGGCCCTGTGAGACCCGGCTGCCTACCCCTGCTGCTCGGGCAGCCTCTCCCGGTTACCCTCCGTCCGTCCCGCCTTTCTTCGTCCCTCTGTCTTCTCACACCTTCTCTTTGGTTAACAGCGTGATTCTTCATCCTTCCATTTTACCTTTATTGAGTTATTATTTAGAACTCTTTAAAACACTTTATTGCTGAGGCCAGCGGGTGGCGTGGTGGTTAAGGCACTGGACTCCCACAGGGCTGACCGCAGTTCGAGTCCTGGACCTGGTGGCTTGAAAATCACAGCAGGTACATGTGGGTGCCCAGAATCCTAGCAGGAGGCTGGGGAAGGAGTTGCAGTGTGGCCTGCCCTGGGCCGATTTCTAACTTGCCCTGTCTCTCTGCCGAGTGCGTATACCCTATGACAGAACCTACAGGAGGACTTTATTGCTTCCCCACAGGGCATGCACTACGCATTTTAAATTCATCGGAATCTCCTTTCAGGCCCACGTGTGAGGCAGTGGCCCCAGGACAGCCTTAGTGGCGTCTTCACCCCTCCGCACCTCCGCACTGGCTCTCAGCAAGGGCACTGCCCCTTGCTGCCACCTACTCTCGGCCAGGCCTGCACCCTTCCTGGAGGCCAGGCTGTGTAGCTCCCGCTCGCAGTGCGGCTGGAGTGGTCTCGGCCCTGCCCAGGCGCATATGCTCCCTGTTACGCCAGTGCAGTTTGCTCGTTCCGGAGCGCAGACAGTGTCTGGGCTCGCTTTGTCCTGCCCAGTGGCCTCCTGGCGGAGGCCCCACAAGGGTCTCCATGGGCCCTTCCAACACTGCCCTCTGCTCTGCCCGCCACGCACGGGGCTCCCTGCACTCACCTTGCAGAGGATTGGCGGCTTTCTCCCAGCAGCGCCTCTGCAGACTCGGCCTCAGAGACCCCCACGTGCAGCTGACGGGGCGGGGATCCTTACCTATGAATCGGAAGCCACACTTCGAAGACAGGGTGGTCACGTCCGTGGCCTACCCTGGAGCAGCATGCTGGCTGGCCGTGGGTACCTGGACGCCCTAGCCATGTGGGTGCTAACTGCAGTCAGGACAGCTCGCGAGCTGTGCGTGCAGCCAGCACGTGATTCTGACGAGACGTCTAGGTTGCGTGTGCAGCACACGAGTAGCTAACTGAGATGCGCATCTGCAGATACATGCACTCCCTGATTGTTCCTAGTCCTCTACATGTTAGGTAGGTCAGACCCACATATGCACACGTGAACACAGGTTCGTGGAAGCAGGTGAGACGTGCATGCACATGTAAACAGGTACACACCTGATACGTGTATGTGTTGTGTGCTGTGTGCACAGGTAGATAGGCACATAGGTAGATGTGCATACACACATACATGTGCACACACAACTCCTACACATGGGCAACGTGTGTCTTACCTACGACGTGTGCATACAGACAAGGTATGTGTACACACATGTGTACCAATGTGTGCGCTTGTGCCGCACTGTGTGTGTCGTCTGTGGTGCATACAGTAGAGTGGGCACGTGCACGCACACGCATACATGCATATACACAGACACACGTGGTGCCTCCGTCTTGGGATCCCTGCTCCCGCCCGCGGTCTGGAGGAAGCGCTGGGCTCCTGGAGTCCATAGGCTGGCTTCTGGACCGGAGTCGGGGCCTGCATGCTGGGAGACGCCCGTGGCCACAGATGGCTCTGCTCGTACTCACGCTGTCCTCTCGTCCTGCAGGGGTGGCGTTCCTGGTGGCCTTGAACCAGAACAAGCAGCTGATCGGGGACCGGGGGCTGCTTCCCTGCAGAGCCTACCTGGAGAGCGTCCGGGAGTACTTCCGGGGCAGCGTGGGCTGGGATGCCGTGAGCTACGCCCCGACCGTCCTGTGGCTGCTGGACTGGTCGGACATGAACACCAGCCTGGACCTCCTCGCCCTCCTGGGCCTGGGCATCTCATCCTTCATCCTGGCTACAGGCTGTGCCAATATGGCCCTCATGGCTGCACTCTGGGTTCTCTACATGTCGCTGGTCAACGTGGGACAGGTCTGGTGAGTGGGGAGGGGCGTTCTGCCACAGCCCGTGCTTGCAGCTGCCCGGGAGCCGCGGGCCCGCTCCGTCAGTTCTGCTGAGAGCCCTGGTCCCGGGCTGCGGGCCGTGCGGGCCGCCTGTCAGCCAGGACCCAAGCCCCTTCTGGGGTAGGACCCTGACCGTCGCTGCCGTGGCATGTCCCCACATTGTGTGGCCTGCCTGAGGCCCAGGAGTGTCCTGGAGCAGCCTCTGAGCGCACC